TTCACGCCTTTCGCCAGGTTACACCCTGTGTCTGCTAGGAGCTGGGTCCTCTGTTTAGATTTCCCGTCTGTCCTGAGGAAGCTCACCGGTGGCGCTGGCGGCTGTGTTTGCCCTGAGATAACTCATGGATTACGGTCCTCACCTCACCCCCAAAGTTTGCCGCGAAACACCTAGCTTTTATTAGTATTTCCGCATCACTCTAGTAGATCGAGAGTCTTTGGAAACAAATGACATCATTCTATTTACAGCATCCTGTTTTTAGTAGTGGTGTCTCCATTTACAAAATACAGTCATTCTCAATGGCCGAAAATGTCAAATCCTAGAAAACACAGCATTCCTACGCGGGATGTGAACATCGTCCTTGAACAGTTGTCAGCCGAAGATTCATTTGATGAATCTGATTTATGTGTACATGATCATCAGGATTAGAGACAAGTTCTGTTTAGAAATAACTCCAAGAACAGTTTCTACATTTTATTTTCACACTGAAAACCAGTCAGATTCGCTTTGGCCTCAAAGAGCGTGTTTATGTAAAATCAAATTAACACTGGGAGCCGGCTGCATTTTTTTTTTCCTAAGAGGGGAAAGGGTTAGACACAGTAAGGATGAAAGCCAAATGAGCAGGTCACCTGCCATCAAGGTGGCCACTGCAGGGCGTATGAGGACATTGTATACATTTGTCACATTCGCGCATCTGAGTGGGTCCTAGGAATCTAATATTTCAGTGACATCATTACCTTTACTTTTATTCTTTCTCATTCAATTTGTCCGGGTCCTTTTTTTACATGAAAAGTAAATAAAATAAGTACACAAAGGAGACTTATTTGAATTGCTTCTCTTTGGCCATTTACAATGTGACAGCTATTTCAACGCTGAGGGAAAATTGCTATCTAGAGAAAAATATTTCTTCCGGATATCCATGGGACATTATGAAATATGGAAATTGTTATCTGTTGATCTCAGCAGTTAGCTTTTTTTAAATAAAAAAATACTAAAGCTGACAGGACTTTCATCCTCTGATTCTCTAGAAATTATTTGGAGGTTATATTCTCTGGATTCAAAGGATCAAGGTTAGGGAACTGTTTCTTAGAAATGATTTGCTCATCTCGGCATCTGTACAGCTTCATTCATATTTTGACAGAGATTTGGGAAAAGAAAAACTTTCGAGGGGTACGGACATCATCACCTGTTTTCCTCTTGGGCAGCATCACACTTCTAGCTGCTTTGTTCACTGATCCTAGATATGCACGTCTTCTATAAAGAATCTTTACACACCCACTGGAGCAAAGCCTACGTCTCAAAAGGCATGTAACTACAATCCAGATTTAAAAATACCTGGGAGGCTACAGTTAACTAGACATCACTCAGAGTTCGAAGGTCAGACAGTGTCAATCCAGACGGAAAGCCCAGGATACTGAAAGCCACCACTTATCCAACACAACAACCGGAGAGGCCATCATTGGGAATTACTCGTGGGGTGCAGAAATCCCTGTTTCCTGCTGTTTGTTGATCATAGATCAAAAAATCTATGAATGCCAAGACTCAACTTTAAATAATGGCAGTCTGTAGGGGAAGAGGACTTCTCATTCACGAGTCACTTTAAATAAAGAGAAAACGCTTCTGTTCCTTTTCTAACAGGAAGACTTTGATGCTTTACTGAGAACAAAAAAAAATGATACATCAATTCTCCACAACTAGTAACATCTTCAATAGATCAGAAAATAAAGCAAATGGATATATAGCTCTGAACACACTCGTGGAAAAGAAGGGCCCCAAGAATATGTGAGACTCGGAAATATGCTGGGGCACACTTTTTCTGAACAGACAGTGGCTAAAATGAACACATTTAAAAATGCTTCCTGGGAGTACCACATGCTCGACATGGGGAGGTTGATAACACTTGTGTCGTCAAAGGAACGTTCGAAACCCTAGTTTGGAGAAGAAGTGCCACCTCGGGCCAGCATCACCAAAGGCTCTGTCACCCTCTACTTGACGAGTGAAGGCAACACTCATTCTGAGAAAAAGACGGCCCAGTAAATGGTAGCATTACCGTTTTCTGACACCAATGCTTTGTTTTTAAATCTTCAGGAGAATACCGATTCTTTCCAATGAATGCAAATAAATCTTAATAATTCTATTCTTTCAATGAAATACGAGAAAGACTAAATTACATAAAACGATGACATTTGTTGAGTTCTGGTTATTAGAATCTATTTCCTTGATCTCTGTAAGACACATGAATCAAAAGTACTGAAAAGAGAATTGTGCCATATTTAGCTAAAGGGATGTATGAACCAAGAACTCTGTCATGGTGACCAAATCTTTACCAGTAATTAACTAGAAGAATTTAACTTAAAAGAATGAATTTAAAACGCACAGATCTACGGCTTTACCATGCTTACCATACCTTGGACAACTCCATGCCTGGCCCACATTGCTTGCAGAGGACGCAATTTCCAGACCGATCCCTGAATTCTTGCTGTCTACAGTCCCCGGTTTCACAAAGCACTTCACATGCCTGCAAAAAAAGTTTCACGAAACGTTATCTCAACGTAAGTTGATTACGTTTTTTGCAAGAAAGAAGTAATATCATCAGTATTATTCACACCAATCACTGAATGTAAACATTAATTTGGAGTGAGACCAGTTTAATTTTCATCTGAGGAAGAAAAAGCACGTTTTGAATCAGTCAGTGGAACAAATAAATCGGTAAGCCTGATTCTTCTCTGTATTCCCTGAATGAGGTCTCCTGGGGTCTTGGAATCATCTCTGTCTTCCTCTGATGCATTTCTGAAGACCTAAGGTGGAAAACGACTTAGGAGACACTCTTTTCTAAGTAAGAGAACGTAGAAAAGAACAGTCATGCGGAGACCCAAGGTCTTTTTGCAAGCTGAAAAATTCTGATTTCAAAACTCTACTTTTGATCGTTGAGAAATATAAGCACATTCAAGGAAAATGAATTGAATAAATAAGTATATGAAATAAATCACAGCTACAGGAACTTTGCTACTACCCTTCAGACATATCTCCCACCCACTTTTGATATAGAAGTTCTAACCTTTTTCAGTGGAACTGCATTTATTTAGAGATCGTCTTTCAAAAAAATTCTGACAATTGTGAGATCGGTAAAATTCTTGATGATGATGAAGATGACAAAAGCGGCCAAACTCTCTGAACTCTCCAAAGTGTACGTGCTACGTAAATATAAACTTAATTCTTACGGATTATTATTTAACCACTTAAGTGGGACCTAACAATATGCTTTGGTTCACAGCATAGGACTTCAATGGGAAGATGATCTATTTTGGCAAAAACAAAGGTTGTAAGTCATTTCCCAAAATATAGCCTTTTTTTTTTTCTTATTTTATCTAAAAACGGTAAGTTCACCTGACAAACTATCATCCTACAAAAGGGTCTTTACCTGCTTCTTCACAGGATTTTGTAAAAGATGTTAGAATTAATGGAATCTCAGACTGGTGACAAAATCCCGCGCAACCTTTTATCGTTGGCAGGAAAGCCCTCGACGACATTCCTGCCTATAATTTTGTTTTCCTAAATGAAAGCTGAAGGCCGGAAGCACTATGGGGACAGAGACTGTCGTTACGGATAATGCCTGTCACACACAAGTGCAGCGGAGATTGTTTTTGATGGTTATAATAATAAGCAATTATTCAGTACAAACTACCCCAGCCTTGAAGCGAGAGTATCTGTAATGACGTCTGCCAGCGTCCTCACCTGAAATCAAAGCCTGAACTTCTAGAGCAAGCAGGAGGGAGAGTTCAAGGTGGGGTTCAGGACTAGAACAGGACGTGGGGCTAAAGGTCGGAGGATCTTTTCCAGCCTCTCTAACTCCCCTGACTAACAGTCTGAGGGGAGGCAGATCCCCTCCCACCCCAGAGACTCAATGGCTTTGAGGAAACCATTCCCTGACCTCCCTCCTAGACATTCATTCCGATGCCTAACAACCTCAGTGGAAAGAAAGGAAGTTTTCCTTACATCTGCCTGAATCTCAGACTCCAACTGGACCCCATTTCCTCTCGCTTTGTCTTCCAAGAAGGCTGGGTAAATAATTCAGTGCAAGTAATTCTTTTCATGGATGTAGATCATGATTATATCTTCAAACTAAGCAAGTTTCAATTCTTTTGAACGCTTTCATAGATCTTTTGTGTCAAGCTTTCAAACATGAGAATTTTCTATCCATCCTTAATGCTTTTTGGAACCGAGGATATAAGTAACTATATAAAAAATAACAGCACTTTTAAAAATCAGTTCTAAATACTTCACAAACTGTGTCCGTCGTGGGCTCCAAATCAGACCTGACGGTCTCGTTAGGATCTAGGATGGGCTGTGTGTTTGCCTGTGAACCCAATGTAATGATAACAGTCCCGGGGCTGTGAATAATGCTGTGATTTTATGACTACATCTAAATTTAAATAAAATAATTCCAACGATTATTACAAACATCCAGAATCGGCAGCAATCTTTGACTTATTAATTAAATGTAACAATTATAAAATGAAATTTGAAAGAAGAAATTTGAAATATGGAATTAGACATAGAAAATAGTTTTGGTACTACTTAGATGAATTCTTTCACTACATTTATGAAAGTAGAGTTGACTTACCAAATAGGCTAGTAAAACTACAACGGTGAAAAATGTTTTCTCTTGTTCTAATTGCACTTTTAAAGCCATTGCTCTTATTAAATGTATTTGTTGTTGAAGATTCCTAAAAGGTAAAAAGATACAGTTAACATTAATAACAATTAGTGACTGTGCTCGGTATTTACTATATAATGTTTACTATTTGCATACATATACTGGGTAACAGTACTTAGGTTTTAAAAGGAATGACCTTTAAAAAACACACAATAGGCATATAATATGTAATCTTTATAATTTAGGTTATGAGAGGTAATGCTTTGTCTACCTGAATACTACAGGTAAAACTCCCACTGGCTTTGAATTTCCAGGCCTTTATTTTCTGCCCAAGGCTCTAAGGTGTTCAATGTACTGCACCCAGTGGAGAATTACATTCAAACAGTGACTACTAAACCTTCCATTCATATGGTTCCGTGCCAACAGGATAATAAAAGTGATAAAATAACAATTAACACCTGCTAAGTACTACGTGCCAGATACTATTCTCAGCATGTTGATGCATTTCATTCTCACAGCTTCTCTAGAAGGTCGATACTAGGGCTATCCCCATTTTAGAGATGGGGAAAATGAAGCTCAAAGAGAGCTGGGTCACTTGCCCAAGGTTACACTGCTACTCAGAGACAGGTGGGGTGGCTCCAGTGTCCCTGTGTCACATACACCCTACAGGACGATCTGCTTGCATCATGGACCTTCAGCTCCACCAAGAAGCGGATGCAGCTAACATCTGGCATTTGTGAGTTCTTCCCCAAACCAGTTCAGTGCAAACTATACATGAGCAGAAAAATAAGTACTCATTTAAAAACATCTGAAAATCATTTACAGGTGATAAAATTGGAGACACTAATCTGACATTTCAATAAAAGATCATCCAAGCCTCTTTATCTTCACCGGAAATGATCTAAAATATAGAAACAAATCTGGTTGTTTTGTACGGATCCGCGTAATGACAAGAGTTTTTCTTTTCTTTCTTTCTTTCTTTTTTTTTTAAATGAAGACTTATCTGGTGGCTTCCGTAATGACAAGAGTTTTTCTTTTCTTTCTTTCTTTTTTTTCTTTTTAATGAAGACTTATCTGGTGGCTTTACCTATCAGGTAGAGAAACATGGGTTCAATTTCCCTTTAGAGTTGAATCTTCCAAAACTAACAGACCCAGAGCAGATAATCTGACTACTTAGAAAGAAACCAGACCAGAGAACCAGAACTGTGGGCCAGAGAGCTCAAGAAAAACAATAACCATAACAACAGAGGAAGCAGAGCTGGGCAGGCCGCTGTGGCAACTGTTAGCCGAGCCGCCAGCCAGGAGAGCGCCCGAACACAGCCTGGAGCTGGTCGACCCAGACGGTCATTGGAGCTGCCTGAGCGGGTCCAGTTATAAGGGCAATAAAAAATAATTTTTATGTTTGTTGAATGAATGATCCAATTTTAGTGACTTCAAACAGCTTTTATTGTTTTTCCAGCTTCTTGGTAGTAACTTTTTTTTTTCTCCCTTGATCTCAAAATCATCCGGCAGTGACCCAACCGTGCAACTCACTGCTTGTGTAGACACAGGATCGGGGTCAGAAGATAAAAATCACAGCTCTGTGAAAGGTATGCTTCATGTTATTTCTTGACGTGGTCCTACAATTTTTTAGAGGTGCTAATTTTTAAAAGTAAAAAGACATCTACATGGAATTAAACTGATATGGAAAAGAGGATATAAATACCAAAGCATTCACACAAAATATGAGAAAAACAAGCTTGACAGAGTCAGTGCGCACCATAATTGAGCAACTAGTTTGGACAGAATACTCTAGTGGGATCCTGACTGAGGAACAGACAAATACTTTAGCATCTTCTTATAAAGGCGATCATTGAAATGCACATCTAGTTAGAAGTCATGGCGATAGGATTTTGACTTCGTAAGATACACTTATTTTATGTTAAAATGTTATCAATGGTTAGGTTCAGATTGTGGCATTCTGGATGAAGTTTTCCCCTCCTTTTCCTAAAATTTCTTTACAGTAAAAATACTTCATTAAAATGAAAAAATATATGTATAATGCTCTTGGGGCCAAAGGTAACTGACATGGTCTTTTCCCCTGAAAATTTAGAAATTAAAAGAGATGATAAGATAAAAATCACATAAACATGATCAAAAAAAGGAGAAAATTAAATAAACTAACTATGATTTTTGCATCACGAAGAGTTTTTAAGATGATAAGGTAGAAAAATTAAGGGAACTATATCCTATGTGCTAACTTGTATTATTCCCTCAACACACGTACTAAAATTGAATAGTTTGAATGAGAAATATAAAAACAGCATTGGCCTGCCTAAATCTCCAGTGGAAGAGGTAGGTTTGCCCCCACAAATGATCCTCTAGACTCATTAGCTTAGCCCCTGTGCCCTCTGCAGTCTCACCCAATGGCCTGCCAGTCCCACCACTGGTCACTGCTCTCACTGCTCATCCAGCTCAGCCACACGGCCACGATCACATTTCCCGACCGCCCAGGACCTTGCCCACAGGCACAGCCTGTCGCTGTGGTCTGCAGAGCGTTTCTCCTACTGAATCTCTCCAAGAGCCAGCTCCACTGTCACCTGCTGGCTGTTGTCCACAGCTAAGCACCGGGGAGGGAGTCGCTTCCTGTGTCCCCTGCAGCCCCTTCGACATCCACGTGCAGTATGTGTCATATTGCACAGCAATCATGCTTATTTCGGTGTCAGTTTTACTCATCAGATTGTATGCTCCTTTAAAATAGAGACCACACCGGATAATGGTGCTCAATGAATGTTTGCAAATTAATTAAGTGAACGAAGCAGCACAAGACAATAAAGAATATAGCGTAGAAAACAAGCGAGATTTGATTGTACGTGACAGACCTAATTCTTCTGTGGCGAACAGAATAAACATTCTATTTCATACAGATATATGCACACACTATCTTATTACATCTTCGAAGCATTAAATAATACAATGATGTATTTTTAAAAATCTTAATCCATTTAAAAGAATGCAAGCGGTTCTTTACAGGAGATTTCTTACATGGGGAACTGAAATGTGCCAGTGAAATATGTCACTTCTCTTCTCTGTGACTTCCCTTTTATCCTCGCTTTTTATACCAAGAGGCTGGGAAACAATTTAGGTGGGGTAGATTGTCCTGACAGCAGTCAGGGTGATCTAAGTCCGGGGTTACCCAATATGGGTAATAACAGCCTGGGTTTCATCAGGAACTGTCAGGGGAAAAATGGCAACCAGAGCACCCAGAATTTCGGTTCCATTTCTTAGCAATGTCACTTTGAAACTACCTATCTATAAAGCTAAAAATAGAACCTACTATCTCCTAGGGGTGTGGTGAGGATTAGCTGAGATAATGCGTATGAAGCACTGAGCCTAGTACCTAGAACAGAATGAACGCGGAATGATGGTTGTTGACACTGTTATTGTTGCTGTTGTTCTTGAGACCACTTCTCTACTGTGTGAACTTGGATGAGAAACTTAACCCAGATTTCAGTCTCCTCGTCTCTAAATCGGGCACAGTGACAGTACCTACCTCCTGGGATGGCTATGAGGAGCAATTGATTTTAACAGCTGTCAAGCACTTACAGGAGAGTTAATTCATATAAACTATTTCTGGCTCATCAGAAGTGCTATATAAGTGTCAGCAAGGACGGCTGTCATCGTTAATGATATTATTGAGGATCAAAGGATCCAGTGCGTGTGACAGTCCTTTGATTTTGTTAGGCAAATGTGAGACATTATTCAGATGGTTTCAGACTTTGAGACGCACAGGTCTGGGGAAAGCACACGAAGACTAAGAAGCGATCCAAAGTTTGAACTAATATCAAATGCTGTGTTAAGGCCTCAGAATAAGGCCCTTCCCCCCTTACTACTACCCTCTAAAGTAGACATTTACCCCCATATGGTGGGAGAGAAAACTGTGGGTCGAAGGACGGACGTACTAGTAACAGTGGAAATCGAATCAAATTCACGCCTGCTGACCCCAACTGTCGGCTGTTCGGCCAGGGTGACCTGGGGTTGTATCCTACTATGCCGCTGCACCCGGCGCCCCTTCCCTTTGGCATAATAGGGCTGCATCAACAAAACCGGTCAACAAAAATGAGACTATGTAACCAAATACTACATTTCCTGATCGATCCACACGGCCTGGTTTAGTTAGACATGAACAGTTTAGTTGGTGGAGTGTTACAAGGGTGACCTTGGATTTCTTGCACTAAGCCGAAATACCTTAAGAAATGCTTTGGCATTCATAAAAAGAAGGAAAATTTAATGAAATGACAAGTGTTTAAGTAATAATATTTAAAATAAAAATAAGGCGATAAAAAGGTATTTATTGAAATTGGTTTTAATTTCTGGGCATTCTGGGTCTGGCCCAGATAGAAAAATGCTTTTACATCCTCCAGTGTTCTATTTATTTGGAAATGACTTATCAAAGACATACAAATTATCGTTATGTAAAATGGGTCCACTGGGCTTGTCATCCTTTGCCAAATACAGAATAAACAACATCTATTAATGATCCAGCATTCATTTTTTGCAAAACATACAGAAAGCCTAATGATGCCTGGTTTACTGTATTTTAGGAGTGTGGGATTTCTGCCTCACTATCGATAACGTCCTACAGGGTGGTGGTATCAGGAGAACCGGGCAAGCAGAAAGGAAGAGACAGGAGCCCTAAGCCCAGAGCTGGCAAACATTCTGCTGAGCTGCACAGCGTCAGCCTATCAAATCAAGCTGCATAGCCTGCTCATTTAAATGAATGGGAACTACATGGATGTGTCCCCTCTCAAAGGGACAAAGGCACAGGGCCTCAGCAACAGCAGTGACCAGGAGGGAGAGTGCAGGCTGCACCTCTCACTGGCCTGGCAGATGCTGGGTCCCAAATCACAGGGCTTACTTCAGCCTGCACTTCCCTCAACCGCCATTCCCGCTTTCGACTTGGGTCCTTCCTATGTACCCTAACTCCATCAGCATGCCTGCCCCCCAATTTGTCAAAGTTCCTCTGGGATCTCCCTAAATGTAGCATGGGCATCTCTCCTTTATGCTCCTGCAGCATCCTGGACTTATCTC